GCAAGTAACTTGATATGGATGCAGCTAATAGCATTATGACCATTTAATGCATACAAGCATTCCAAATATTTTTATTAGGACAAATTACACCGACACTGAGTAAGATTTAAACTTAATAGCTTTTAGCTACACATGACACCTTTCCCATTTTTAACCTTATACAATCTCCACATAATATTCAATCCTGTTTTAATAAGAAAATATCGAGTGTTATTTTTTTTGTCCTAATTATAAAAATTACTTATTTTGTGATATATTGATTACTAAATTTCTTGTCTTTATTTTATTGTGATGTTTATGTTCAGTGTTAATGGGACCCTTCACCTATTTTTCATGCTAGTGGGTGTATTCAACATTAAATTACTAGCTATTGGGCAGTTTTTTATGACTCGGAATTTGGAGGGATTAGTTAGTGTCACTAAGAATGTAATTCACCACTTAAGTTATACAATTTTTGAAAAACGAAAGATATGTTAAAGTATCACAATGTAAAAAAAAAAATCTTAATTAGGTTAGCACATTATCTCACAACAATCATTTGCAATATATCAAAAAGACTATATAATATTAAAAAAAATGAAAAAATAAGTACAAAAGTATTCATAATTCTTACTACGAGAACCTGAAATGTAGAAGATCACACCTCTCCCTAGAATATGACAATACAATACAAGGAGGAATGACAAACTATCAAAAAGAATTGGAATGTCTAAGACTAAACCTAACTAAGCTGTCACTACAATCATTACCTCCCTATAAACATGAGAAAATTTAAATCTCATATGTTTAATTAAATCAAGCATATTTAGCCACTCTACACGAAGACGTTAAGGCACTAAAGAAGGATCACGGAATACTTTGATGACAAGTAGAAAATCTAACTCCAACCAAAGAGACATCCAACCTCAATCATGGACAAGCTGAACGGCACAAATGAATGCCAAGACTTCCACTTCCAAAGCTGACCTAACTACAATTAACTTCGCAAAACAGACTAACAAGTTTGCAGAGTTATCTCACTTAAAGTTATACAATTATATGTGTATATTAGGAATAAAATTTAAGTTTGTGATACATTTTTAAAAAAAATTAACTAATTAATTTGACTTTTTTTTATTGGTCTAAATGAGTTAATTATTTGCTATTTTTTTAATGTAAAAAGGCTTGGAGAAAGCATCATATTCCTTACATTAACATAAGTTTCCTCCGATAGCGAGGGAGGTTAGTATAATGGTGAAAAAGAGGACTAACTATTCCGAAGAATTACAATTCATGCGTCTTTCATAAGAAGGTTTGGAAATTGAGATGCTGTTACAAATAGTAGTTTAAAATGTATATTTGTGCGACACCAATTACGATATTTAATGTCACCTAACTATCATCTTTTGAGTAGCATGTTCAATAGCTTATAGAGAAACTACAGCAGTGGAGGGATAGGTTGAAAGATCCAATTTTGGGCATGCATAGACAGGGCACCAAATAATGACTAGTGACTAATGTGAAGAAAGAAACGTAGGAAACACTTAAAGACTCGATGCATTAACTTGTATGCAAATCTATATTTTTAGCGTCATACGTAAGCTTTCAGAATTCAGATTTAGTTTTATATTCATTTAAAATTGAGCGACAAATGTTTTTATTAAATCCTCTGAATTTTTGAGGAACGAAATACCTACCTGATCATGGTAGAAATTACTTCACTGAAAATGTGTTAGAACCGGTGGAGTTTGCTGGTGAAATAATTTGTTTTATGCAAATGGCGTCTATTTTGGGTAAAGAATATAGAAAGAAACTTGAAAATGAAATCTCAATTCTATCTTAAATTCCTGATAACTACTCTCCCGTATTATTTCTCAAACTTACAGAAGTTTTTTTGAAAAAATTGGCATTGCGTAACTTCGAAAAGAAAACAATTTAATGTTTTCACTAAGAAAATTGTAATTTTATTTTTAAAAAAGAATGAAGTGCTTTAGAGGAAAAGTATCTATTGCCGCCGCCACTCAAACCTCCTGATAGGGGTGGTGGTGAAGAGGACAAGGGTGGAGCTGACCTTGAGAAGGTCTCTTTTTGGGATAAACTATTTGGTATGCAAACGATCGATGCTAGGAGGGAGAGGGTGGATCTCATTAAGCTTAATAAGTTTCGAATTGAGTTTGAGCAGGGAGATCGTTTGAGACCTCGTTTATTTTATGGAAGCCATGGAAAGGACACTCTCATTGTAAAACTTAGGGAAATTGCTTAGTTTTTTCACCATGCGTGAAAAGCTACGTTTCGTATGGAAGCTATTAGGGACTTTGATATGGTAGATATTGGTCATGGGTTCTACATGATCAAGTTTGACCTTGTTTGTGATCCAGACATAGTATTGATTGGTGGTCCATGGATAATATTCGACCACTAGCGTGCAATGAGGACTTGGATCCTAGACTTCATATTATCAGAGGTTCAAATATAGAGTATCTTGGTTTGGCTCCGCTTTCCCAGTTTTGGTATGGAGTACTACAATGAGAGTTTGTTGCTAGCTTTGGCTACGATAATGGGGGGCTAGGGAAAATGGACATTCGTACGCTCGATGCTTCAAGGGACCATTTTGCTAGGGTTTGTGTGGAGATTGACTTGAAGAAACCAAGGGTGGGTTGGGTCTAGTTCTGTGATCACCGGTTCAAGGTGTTGTATGAAAGTCTCCACCTTATCTGCAAGAGGTGTGGTCTTATATGCACATGATCACTATGTCTTTCCCAAATAGGAAGGAGGCTCATGTAGGCTCGACAAATCTGATGTTGCTCATGGCATTTCGGAAAACCCTACTTCTGAAGGTTTGACAGCGGTGGGTGTGAATGGCCAGGGCATTGCAACTTTTGGTAAGGATCAGAACCTAGCTCCAATTTTTACATGAAATGGATCATGTAACTGTATTAATCATAAGTCGGTTGGTATCATTAAGGATATAACGTCCGAGATATTGTTTATTTTGACACTCATTAAATTATCACCCTTTAACTTAGGACATTGTAACCCTAATGATACTATAGTAGACTTATAGTCTAGATATTGATAATAGAAAGAAGGTCTAGGTCACTTTTACCCTTTAGTCTCAACTGAGAAACTTAATCTAATATGTCTACAAGTTCTATATTACTTAAGAATAAGAGCTAAGAATAATCTATGAATGTCTTCCTTTCTTAACTTATTGAGGTACCTTTTCAAAGATAAAATCATGGTGACTCAACGAATATAAAAAAAGTCAATATTTCCGCAGTCCTTATTACAATGGGAACAATAACAAAACAAAAAATCTAGAACAAACCTTGATTATAACCACAAGTCACGAGCAGTTTCGCATCCCGGAGATACAAACAGATTTCAACCTCTTAAAAGTGGCAAAAGGGGGGCCATGTCTCCAAGGGGAGTCAACGAGGTTGACTGATATCACTCCTTGACTCCAATAGGCCAGGAGAATCTGCATGAGGGTGTTTTGCATGCATGTGAGAAACACCCTAAGCGGTCTCGGACTGATTCCAAGAATCAAGACTCCTCTAAGAATGCTGATGTCCCTTTGACAAATTGGAACGTTAAATCTAGGGAACTTTTGAAGCTATCTCGCCCTAGAGTGAGTGCCAAGAATGTCTTACATCATGAAGACCCTTCTCGTATAGATAAGGGTAAAGCCATCATGGTGTCTCAGGCTAGGGTTGTCCTAGGTCAGGGAGGCCTCCCCTGATGATGGTTAATTTGAGCCCCACCTCTCAGGGGTTACTCCATCCACCAGAACCTCCTGATTCTGATTTACGGTTTGGCGTGATCATAGGGGGAGTAGATGATGATGACATGGATGATGGTGGGGATATACAACATCCAATGCTTCGTTGGAGGACATGAACATGGTGGAGGACACACACGGTGGCCAACGAACCTAGGTGGAAGTGTCTCTTGCTTTCTCTTATGGTGGTTATGATGATGGGGTTTAAAGATTTTCTTATGGTTGCTTGGAATGTCCAGGGGTTTGCCAACCGTCGGAACCAGGCTCATATGTAGGAGTTGATTATGCGTTTTAACTCGATGGTTAGCTGCTTATTTGAAACGCATACCCCTCTGCGAACTTGACCAACTTTTGGGATCAAGTTGGGTACAAGTTCCTTTGCTATGGAGGAGGCTAAATGGCCATGCAAGTGGAATTTGGTGCTTAGTTAAAAGGAATATGTTGGGTGAGTTTCGTTCGCGTGTTGCGTGTCTTTGGACCCTCATTAGGGACTTTAACGACATCCTTCTACCTGTGGATCAACGGGGAGGATGCTTCCCACCTTCCCACGCTGTTGCATTTGCTCAGTGCTTCGAGGAGTGTGGTTTAATGGACATGGCTTTCTTTGGAAGCAAATTAACTTACCAGAAAAAGTGTGCGGGTGGCAAACTTGTATCTTGGTGACTGGATCACGGGCTTTGTGATCAGTCTTGGTGTTTGGCCTTTTCAGAGGCTTCTATTGAGCATCTTCTCCATTGACAGTCGAATCATAATGATGACATATTGCCTCCTTAGGGTCCTATTACTTAAGTAAGAACTTGAATATTTTCATAGAGTCTTCTCAGAGGCTTGTATTGGTCTCGAACTGTGTTCGGATACTGGTATTAGGAATCTCATTTGTTATTCAGATTCTCTTGCAGTTGTTAACAGGGTGAAAGATGGGGTTGAGGCTCATCATGTTTATGCTAATGGCATTGCATGGGTTATCTTGAATAGGCGCTGGATTTGTAATATCTGCCACTCTCCGTGAGGGTAACCAGTGTGCAGATATTCTCGCTAAGTTTGGCGCCCGAAGAGGGAGTCAATTTGTTTGTCTAGATAGCGCTCATGCTTGTCTGGCTATTGCCATGCATGCGGATGTGGTTGGTGTCCCTTTTAGAAGGGAGTAGTTTTTGTCCTTTGTTTTGGTGATTCTGTTTTCTTTTGCTTTTATCATCTCTTGTAACAAAAAAGAACTTAATGTTTTCATCACAATCATCAATTTGCCACGTTATCAATTTCATATTTCCATTGCAAAGGGTGAGTCAGAAGCTCATGAAAAATAAAAATAGAGCAGTGCATACATGACACAAGGACAAAGGTGTAAAGAGAATAAGCAATTCTTAGCTTTCCCAATTTCCCAATTTAACATGATCTACACCATGGGGAGTGCTGAAAGATCTTGGCAAGACAGTCAATGCTTGGAATCTTCTTCTTCACAGAATTTGGAGTACTTTTCTGGGTCCATCAAATTGTTTAATTCACCATTGTCACTCATCTCAACTTTAATTATCCATCCATTTTCATAAGGGCTTGAGTTGACCTGTATGAAGAAATTTAGGATATCATGAAAACACTTGGTGTTGATGAATAAGAAAGCATTGCATAGGTATGGTGATCCAAAATTTGGATTATGGTGTACAGAGGTAGTACAGAAAGGATAAAAAATAGTTGAAGTGCACATACACCAAAGCAGGAGAACTGTAAAATATTCTCCAAGATACTCAGCATTCATATCTTGGCTTTCATGTAAAATATTCTTCAAGAATAAGGCAATAATACTCACCAAAGCTGGAGAACTGTGAAGTTCTTCATTAACTTCAACCACTTTTCCTGAAACAGGAGAGTTAATATCACTAGTTGCCTTAACACTTTCAACTGCACCAAAACTAGCTCCTTGAGTTACAGCTGCTCCCACTTCTGGCAATTCAACATATACAACATCACCCAAATGATCTTGGGCATGATCAGTTATGCCAACTGTTGCAGAATTTCCATCAACTTTTACCCACTCGTGAGAATCAGCATACTTCAAATCTTTAACAACTGGAGGAATAACATACAAGAAACCAACAAGTAAGCTTAGAGAGATAACTAAAAGTCAGAAAACTAAATCTCTTCAAGGTCCAAGCAAAGTGTTCTTTTCAAACATTTTGAAGACATCATGCAGATTGACTTCAGAGATGCTAACAACAACCAATCATTTCCATATTTTACATGTTCAAACAAACAAATGCAAATTTTACATTTAGAATATAATTGGAGATTTGAATATGGAAAGAATCTGAAAATCACCGAAACCAATAAGATGTTTAAACACAAGATATTCGTTTTGTTTCTAAAACTGAATAAGCACACTGGAGATATTTCAATCAGGCATGTCAGTATTGAGATAAGTCCCCTCCTGCAAATTGTGGTTTTGTTTACTTATTTTTACAATATGTTTACAAGCAAACAATTGATCCAAGAGTCTTGTTTTTATATAAATTTAAATATATAAAGCTTTAATGTAATGTACCCGATTATAGTTCGAAATTCAGGAAAGAACAAAATTTAAGCAACTTCAAGATCCCATCACATATGGCACAGTGGGAGAAGGGCTTGTTTCATTTCCAGGAGGAGAATTACTTTTGAGCAGAATGTGTTTTGGAAAAAAATTATTTCCAAACAATGAGTTGTGGGTATTGTTTGGATTACATTACGTAACTTCTCAATGAGAAGAAAGTAGGTGTATGTCAAAAATGCATTTTACCAAAAGAGCTGAAATATGCACCAAATTACTTTTCCAAAATGCTAAAATACATTTGAAGAAAATCTTACTTTAAAAAGCCAAAATATCCGAAAGTCATTTTCTACCAAATTACTAAATGTGCACTTGAAAACAAGAAAAGCCTTTTTCTTTGATGTATAAAGCTTCAATATTGACAAAGTAAATAACAGCATAGCTACAATCCAAGATTCAAACATTCAGTAACATACTTTCTGAAAACGTATACAAACATGGAATATTTTCAATTTCAATTTTGGAATTTATCCCAGTCTCCTCTATAGATTTAGTATTCAAAAAATAACATTTTCCCCCTTCTGTCACTATCCATTACCAGCTAGCTCCACCCTTGTCATCCTCCTGTTTAATATTGTAACTAACTGGGCCTTACAGGCCCACTGGGTTCAGAATGCAGCCCATAAAGTACGTCACATATAATACATGCCATTAAGAATCTTGAGCTCTAATAAAGGTCAAAAGCTAATCATAAAAAAATGGACAGAGGTTATTCATTTTAATGCTTTTTTGTTGGTGGGTGGGTGGTGCACTTTTCCCTTCCCACCAGGTCATTAGAATGCTCTCAGCCTTTGAAATATAGATAATATAAAGGTAAAGGTGGGAAGAGCAATGTCAACAGGACCATTAAGAGATCTCTATTGATGTTTTTTTTTTTTTTTAATATAATATTATCTAGAGTTAGAAGAATAACTAATATTTGTGAGTGCATAGCACTGCGGTGGATAGCAATATATCATATTATACATGAGAAAACATAAAAAGAAATGTGAATTACCAATCCAGAAAAGAAAAAGAAGAGACATGAGATTTAAAATGAAACATTGAAGGACATGGATCAAGATCCACAACATAACACATGACATGACATGACAACAACTTAATTGTATGTGATGAGTGAAACATAACAAATGAAAAGCAGATCACAGAGAGAAGAAGAAGAAGATGGAAGTAATATTACCATTAGAAAAGCCTCTGTGGAAGACAGAGATCCTCAGGTAAGAGGCTGCTCTTGAAGCCCACAATTGCCTGCAAGCCATATCACTCTCTTTTTCTCTCTGTATATATGTGTGACTTTAACACATTTGCTTTTGTCACCCCGAACAGCCATTTATTTATATCATGGGGGGTTGGTGAATATTTTTGCTTTTTTTTTTTTTTTTTTTCTTTATTCCTTCAAAAATATTTTATATTTTGTTAGGTTCTGTATGTTTTTAAGTATTTATTAGAGAATGACATTCAAATCGATTCATCGAGTTTTTACATTTACTATGATTTTATAACGCTTATTTTACATGTTAAATATTTAGTATATAAATAAAATTTATAATAAATTATATCAAACATATTGTATTTTAACATATAAATTATATTTAAATTTTACATAAGGAAATATTTTAATTATTGATAATTTATTTAAAAATATTAAATTTAACAATTATAAATAAATATGATAAATAAAAATTGAATTAGGTAAAAAGTTAAAAATATTTCAAAAACACTTTCACACAGAATAGTCAATCGCATTTAATATATAAAAATTAAGTTTTTCCTTTTGTACAATCATATATTTATATTTATTCCATATAATTTCATTTTCAACATTATAAATAAACTTTGCTTTTAATTCCTATAAAATTAACAAGTTTTGATTTTGATTCCTATAATTTTTTTTTTATTTTTCATCCATATAAAATTGTAACTATTATTTTTAGTCTCTATTTTTTATGTGATCATTTTTAAATAAATTTATTTATTAAAAAATTTAAGTAATTATCTTATGTGTTACATACAACTATTATCAATATTATATTGATATTTAATATCTAAAGAATTTTATAAGTCCTTAAAGTGAATGTTATTTATTTACTTTAAAATGACTATTAGAGACTAAAAATAGTGAATTTAGATTTTAGAGAGATGAAAAATAATTTTTTTTACAAGAATTAAATCCAAAATTTACTCATTTTACTAGGATCAAAATTAATGTTTATAAATTTTAAAAGGATAAAAAAATAAAGAATTTTTTTACAAGGACTAAAATCAAAATTATCTATTTTAGGGGGACTAAATTTATATTTAAACCTTATAAATATGATGTATTTATCGATTTCGTTGATAATTAATTTTTATTAAAAAAATAAAATTCTTTATTCTGATTTTTAAATTTCAAATACATTTTTTTTTCTATTCACATGGATGGAATTCAAAACTTTACGTAAATAATTGAAGTTTAATTTCACTAAAACAGGTATCCATGTTAACTTGTATTTGATAAGCTTTTATAATAATATTTATTTAAATATTTAATAAATTTTATTTTTAATTATTTTAATCAAAATTTAAATTTATTTGACTAATATTAAGAATAACATATTTTTATTTAAAGTATTCAATTAAATAATTTTTCTATTTTTAAATTAACATTTTAAATAATTATATTTTATATTTTAATTTATATCTTTACTATTAATGGATTATTTTTATTTAAATATTTTAAATTTTGTTTACATTAAATATGTATTTATAAATAATCATACAAATATACAAAATACTTCTTAATGACTCAAAATACATCTTCTGTAATGGTGGTTTGTAATTGGAGGCAGTGTTTTAAATCGACAATATAATTTTTTTTTCTTGTGTTATTTATAAAATAACACTCCTAGGAACTATTGATTTTTGGAAATAGTTTTTAAATAAATTTTCCACAAAATTGTTACATGTGAGGTAGAAAACTAATATTCTTGAATTAAAAAAAAAGTTTTAATGTGATATAAATGTTACACTACATTTGTTTTTACCAGAATCCTACAAGTGCTCCAATGGCGGGCATGACATCTTAGTTGCTCCAATATTTATAGCGAGGAAGAGCACCTGCAAATACACTCCAATACTCAAATTAGAAGGGAGTTTAGGTTAATAATTAGGTTAAGATAGAATGATACCTAATGCCCCATATATATGTGGTTGATTTTGTCTCTAAGTTTAAAGATAATTTTGTGTGATATCTTTGAAGATATATTTTAGTGATTGCCCAAAGATATATTGTTATTCATTAGCAAAGATATTGCTTTAGATAAGCAAAGATATTATGCTAGCTGAATATCATGTACTTAATTATTATAAGATATCCATGCCAACGATATGTTGCAAGCCGTTAGGAGTTAGCTGCCTAAGGTTTTTTATCTCATCATAATGATGGGTGAGAGGCCTAGAATGGACAAACTAGAAGAAGCCAACTCAAGCTTTGTCTTGGACATGGTGGGTAACATATAAGCCCCCTAAGTTTCGAGCCTATTAGGGCAAACAAGTTAGAAGTGAAATCGTTCAAGGTGGGTAGTTTGTTCCCCATTGGTGAGATGAGTAAGTGGTGATCAGTTAGGCTAGTTCAAGCTGATCGGGGTAGGTGGTACATGGGCCTCCTAAGCTCTGAGCTCATTTGGGTGACATAGCTTTGATGTTTGTGTGAGCGTTGCATTTAATGCGTAATTATTGACAATTTTTTGTGTGCATTAATTGGTAATAAATGCAATGTGTTGCCTTTGATTTTGTACATGTTGACTAAGTAATGGTTCCTATGTTAAATAGAGTGGGAGTTTTCAATAATTTTAATTTTTTTATTGTTAAAAGTTGAAAAGATAAACAAACCTATTAAATGTAATATAGCTAAAAATTTCAATTTAATTTAGCTAAAATTTTTGATTTAATTTTACAATAACATTTATTTATGTGCAAAATATAAATATAATAAAATATCTTATGTGCAAAATGTAGTAGTTATTAGTATTGATCTTTTTTGATAAATTGATATTATACGTTTTAAAAAAATTAAAAATCATTTTCACAAAATAAGAGGAAAAAATTAATTATCATTTATAAAAGAGAAATTATTATAATCGTTATAATCATTATTTTTATTAGCAATGTATTTTGTAGCAATATTTATATATAAAAATATTTAGGAGAGGGTCATTGGAGGAATTAATAAATGATTAGTAATAATAAAAATATTTACATTATTTTCAATAGAAGTTTATTTTATACTATTGCCGAAAGCTAATAATAATTAGTAATTTTAAAATACTTTTACCCAAGTTTTTCTTTAATATATATTTATTTACATATATTTGTTTATAATGTTTTTCATAATAATATATATAAAAATATTTAAAAGGGAGTTATTGGAGGAAATAAATATTTAGGACATATTCATTAGAAGAAATTATTAGAGGAAAGTTATATATGCAAAATGTAATAATTATGAGTATTGATTATATACATTGTTTAAATCGATTAATTTCTATATTAGTTTATTCTTATAATAACATTTATATAGAAAATTTTTGGAGGGAGTTTCGAAAAGAAGGAAAATATTCTAGAATTTTTTCCTTTTAAATTATTAATAGATTAATTCACTCGTTTCACTATTCCTTTCCTTGTACGCAAGGTTGTTTTAACCATTTACAACACAAGAGGCTTTGTCCCTTAATCATTTTTTAACCAAAATGAAAAAAAAAGTGATTAATTAATTTTAAGGACTTAAATGAAACTCTAAAAAAGTTCAAGAACTTATTTGAATTTTCTTCAATTTCAACGACTAATATGATAGAGAGGTCCATTTTCAATAACCAAATTGGTCATTTACTCTAATAAACTTTACACTTTAAAAGAACTACCTAGAAAGTTCTGAGCCAGTTGTGTAGGAGTTAATGTCTGACTTTGCATATAGCTGCTGTAATTAATACACTGCATCTGAAAAGATATTGCATCATGTTTTGATCCCCAAAATGAGAATACAACTTTCATAGCCTGGCCACGAATCGTCTCATGGCAGCAATGATAGGAAGAGGATTCTCCAAATGGGCAGCGTGGCCACAGTTTGGAACCTCAACCACCTCATGTATGTCACTCCCTTTATCATGATTACTCCCCAAGCCAGTGAACAATGCATTCATCATTGCTTGAGCAATTTTTCTAAATTTCGTATCTTTTTCTCCATGCATGATAAGAAGAGGTATCCTACAATTTGGCAAATCTTCCCACAATGACCTGCTCTCTCAAAGGTAACGAATAATGATGCGTTAATTGATAACTATATATCATTCAAATGTATACATTAACTGCTGCAACAACACAAATTACTGATTCATATAATTTGCTTTATATAAAATACCGACACTTCAATTTGCTCTATGCACCTGTGTCGATGAAGTATTCAAGCCTTTAAAGAGATTATAAGAATTTTATCTGATATTAATACTCTTAATACTTACCTATAAACTTTACTAATACATATTGGTGTCCAAACCTTCAAAAGTTGTGAAAATCCAATAGTTATATGAGACACAAACATGTATAATATACAAAAATGGAAATTATCCTCTTTATGGATGATTTCAAGAATGAAATGAGATTGATCGTATTATTCTTGTTTGTAAATTACAGGAAGTTATTAATGATAATAATAATTTATAAATACTTTTAGTAAAGTACGTTCTTAATTTGGATTTGCAACATTGCAAATATATTGATTACGTTCATGGTATCTACCTTGGTCGTATAATCTGTCTCCTTTTTCTACCTGGGTCCTAATCTTGTGTCTTGGTAGTTGTTAGATATAATTTTATCTTATGGGCCTAGGCCCACTACTTTGTATATAAACCTATCTTTTGCTTTGCAATACACAAGGAATATGTTCTCTCCATTCACCATTACTCTCAACATGGTATCTAGAGCCTATCCTTGACTTTCCGGTGGACCCACTGTTCATCAGTGCTCGGAAAACGTGTCTCATTCCGTTTTTCGGCTACCCACCTTGTCGTGTCTCTTTCCGGCAATTTTTTTTCCTCCTATTTAGGGTTTTTCTTCGCTGCCGCCGCTGTCCGCCGCCGCCGCCGCCAGCTTTCCAGCCGGCGACCCCCCCACCCAGTTTGCCTCCCTCCGGCGAACCCAACGCCACCGGTCGCGCGCCAAACGGAGGTGGCACGCGCCCCCATGCGCCGATTCCGTGCTGGGCGCGGTTTCTCTCTCCTCTTCGTTGTCCGGCGGCGATCACCGGCGCCGGACTCGCCCTGACATCCTCTACCCCGATCTACTATTTGTTTTGTGATCGGACCTCGTTTGGCACGAATCTCTTCCTTCTCGGGCCATTTTTCTCTCTCCTGTTACAGCACCTATGGCTTCCTCTTTCGCTGATCGGCCTGAATCCTCTATTTTCACTAATTATGCCAATGTTCCTCTTTCCATTGATAAGTTAGATGGAACCAATTATGATACTTGGACTTCGGATATCAAGCTTTGGCTTAAGGGACAGGATTATGTTGCTCACCTTACCTTCCGTTGATGAGAAGGATCGTCCTCGTTGGTTGAAAATTGACGCTCAAATTTGTAGTGTCCTTAAGTCGACCATTCATCCCTCCCTAAAGCAAATTTTTCGTGCCCATGAGACATGTGTTGATGTATGGGAACAAGCCCGAGTGTTATACACCAATGATACTCAACGTCTCTATGGTGTGTGTCAAAATCTCCAGAATATCATTTCCCCACGACGCCTTGAGGGCTCCATGGCTGAGTATTTGGGCAAAGTTCATGGCCTCCTACATGACTTCAATGAACTTTTGCCTCCTGCTGTCACTCCTGTTAAGGAACTAGAGCAACGCCAAACTTTCTTTATGTTGATGGCATTGTATGGGCTTCCTGATGAGTACTCTTCCATTCGTGATCAGATTTTGGGATCTCCGACCGTGCCTACCTTGAACTCGGCTTGGTCCACTCTGTTGCGTGTGCCTTGCAAGTTTTCCCCTGACATCGTTGGTTGAAAATTGACGCTCAAATTTGTAGTGTCCTTAAGTCGACCATTCATCCCTCCCTAAAGCAAATTTTTCGTGCCCATGAGACATGTGTTGATGTATGGGAACAAGCCCGAGTGTTATACACCAATGATACTCAACGTCTCTATGGTGTGTGTCAAAATCTCCAGAATATCATTTCCCCACGACGCCTTGAGGGCTCCATGGCTGAGTATTTGGGCAAAGTTCATGGCCTCCTACATGACTTCAATGAACTTTTGCCTCCTACTGCCACTCCTGCCAAGGAACTAGAGCAACGCCAAACTTTCTTTATATTGATGGCATTGTATGGGCTTCCTGATGAGTACTCTTCCATTCGTGATCGGATTTGGGATCTCCGACCGTGCCTACCTTGAACTCAGCTTGGTCCACTCTGTTGCGTGTGCCTTGCAAGTTTTCCCCTGACATACCTTCTTCAGCTCCCACTGGAGACTCCTCTGCTGTGGTTTCTCAACGTGATGATCGTCAGCGCTCTCGCAAACCGGGCAAAGGTCGTCCCAAGTGTGATCACTGTCACAAACTGGGCCACACAATTGACCGTTGCTACATCTTACATGGTCGTCCCCCTCGCCCTGCTGCTGTTGTTGCCCACACTGCCTCTCCTGTCTCTTCTGTATCTGGTGTCTGATAGTTCTGGCTCTGGGCCTCCAACTCTCTTTTCTTTCCTCTGTGTCTATTCCTAAAAATGTAGGTGATGCCTTGGCCCACCCTGGTTGGAGACAAGCCATGCTTGATGAACTGTGTGCTCTTCAGAACAATGGTACTTGGGATCTTGTTTCTTTGCCTCCTGGGAAGTCTGTGGTTGGATGTCGATGGATCTTTACAGTCAAGGTTGGTCCTGATGGCACCATTGATCGACTCAAAGCTCGTTTGGTCGCCAAAGGTTATACTCAAATTTTTGGATTAGACTATGGTGACACTTTCTCCCCCGTTGCCAAGATGACCTCTGTCAGATTATTCTTAGCCATGGCTGCTCTTCGCCGTTGGCCTCTCTATCAACTGGATGTTAAAAATGCCTTTCTTCATGGGGATTTGCTTGAGGAAATTTATATGGAGCAACCTCCTGGGTTTGTTGCTCAGGGGGAGTCTTCCGGTTTGGTATGTCGTCTCCACAAATCACTTTATGGTTTTAACTCTTAAGCAGTCTCCAAGGGCATGATTTGGTAGATTCAGTACTGTAGTACAACAGTTTGGTATGACTCGAAGCGAAGCTGATCATTCGGTCTTTTATCGACATTCCACAGCTGGGTGCATCTACTTGATAGTGTATGTTGATGATATTGTTCTTACCGGTAGTGATCATCATGGCATTTCTCAGATAAAAATATCATCTTTGCCATCACTTTCAGACAAAAGACCTTGGTAAACTTAGATATTTCTTGGGGATTGAGGTAGCGCAATCTACAAATGGAATTGTAATATCTCAAAGAAAGTATGCATTGGATATTTTAGAGGAAACTGGGCTAATGAATTCCAAGCCCGTTGATACACCTATGGATCCTAATGCTAAACTTCTACCAAGTCAGGGGGAGCCTTTCTCAGATCCTGAGAGGTACAGAAGACTGGTTGGGAAATTGAATTATCTCACGGTAACTCGTCCTGACATCTCTTTTGCGGTTAGTGTGGTGAGTCAATTTCTCAATTCTCCATGTGCAGGACATTGGAATGCAGTCATCCGCATTCTGAAGTATATCAAAGGTGCTCCAGGAAAAGGTTTATTATATGGCTACAACAATCATACCCAAGTTGTGGGATACTCAGATGCAGATTGGGCAGGCTCTCCCTCTGACAGGAGATCCACCTCAGGTTATTGTGTCTTTATCGGTGATAACTTGATTTCCTGGAAAAGTAAGAAGCAGAATGTAGTGGCAAGATCTAGTGCAGAAGCAGAATATCGTGCTATGGCCTCTGCTACGTGTGAGCTTATTTGGCTCAAACAGTTGCTTAAAGAACTGAGATTTGGCGAAGTTACACAGATGACTCTCATATGTGATAACCAAGCTGCCCTTCATATTGCCTCAAATCCAGTATTTCACGAGAGGACCAAACACATTGAAATAGATTGTCACTTCATTCGTGAGAAGATTTTATCTGGGGACATTATTACTCAGTTTGTTAACTCTACTGATCAGTTGGCAGATGTCTTCACCAAATCATTACGGGGTCCTAGGATTGATTATATTTGTAACAAGCTTGGTGCATATGATCCATATACACCAGCTTGAGGGGGAGTGTTAGATATAGTTTTATCTTATGGGCCTAGGCCTACTACTTTGTATATAAACCTATCTTTTGCTTTGCAATACACAAGGAATATGTTCTCTCCATTCACCATTACTCTCAACAGTAGTCAAAAACACAAACTGTTGTTGCAAGATCCAGCACTGAAGCAGAACATAGAAGCCTACCCAACACAGCTGCTGAAATTTTGTGGAACTGAAAATGCCTCATTCCACTCCTGTTCTACTGTGCGACAATCTAAGTGTTGTCCAACATATTTCAGCATCAGATCAAACTGTGCGAATTACCAAGCCTCTTGCCTCTCACAGATTTCTCACTTTGCGAGGCAATCTTAGGGCTGTTGATAGATTTTCTCTCACTCAACCACCCTAAGTTTAGTATTACAGATATAACTAAGTTTACATTTTATGTTTCATTGTATTTTCATTTCTATGTAATTAGTATTACATTTTGTTCTGTTAGGTTTGTTATAGGTTAGTTACTTTGCTGACTCAGCTCTGACTATCCTTACAGCTATATACAGCTGGTTCTCTTGTATACAAAAAACAATCAATGAATCATTTTCTTTAGTCTCTCTTCGACTCTGTGTCTCTCACTGATTTCTGTATTTCTAATATATATTGCATATACTATATTTTTCATGTCTCGATGATTATTTTCTGCACAAAACCAATTTTAACAAAAATTTCCGAGATATTAGGGGCTTTGAATATGGTTGCACCTACTATCCTATAGATATGCAACTGGACGGAGAAGACATTGATAGATAAAAAAACAAGGGAATGAACAAATAGTTAAGCTTAATTTGCTTACGGTTGTCTTCCTAAGCTTAATCCAGACAACATCTGTGCAAGACTCTGCATGTCATCATGATGCAAGCGACTAGCAATGATTCGGTTGAAATGAGGATGACTCCTTAAACTGCTAGATAAAAGAACAGTTGAGACACTTACTGAAGGAATACATCATAATAAGATCAGCATAAATTCTATAAAATCTAAAGGTTATAACAAACAACCCTAAAAAAAAAATCAGGTTACCTTTTCCACAGCTCTCCTGAATACCAGGAACTGACAAAAAGTTGCAAACCATGTGTAATGACTGCGAGTGCTCTAGAATCATCTTTAGCAGCACGAATTTTTCTCGATAATTTATCTTTTAATCCAGGGCTTCCAGATATTAATACAGCTCCCTTTGTCTGCATCATATATGCTCAAGTTGTTTAGTAATGGTCATGAAAACATCAAAACAGTAATAACTTCGAATATAGCCACTATACCGCTGTGCCAAATTTCAGTGCCATATACAATGCAATTCTTGCTCCCATTGAATACCCAACTAGTGTGACTTTTGCTGGAGCTATGTGATGAATTAATTTAAGCAATAAATCAGCAATTATCTCCAGTGACAACCGTAGTTTCTCACCGGCACCCTTTTCACCATGTAACATTGATTTTCCATGACCAGGAAGGTCAACAGAAATGCATCTTGCTGATCCAGAAAAGGTCTTCATGATGTTAATCCAGTCTTCACTGGTTCCAAGAAAACCATGAAGAAATAGCAGTACATTATCCTACATTTGCTGAATCTAACTAAATCAGATCCATACAAGGTAATGAAGGGATCAAATTTTATTTTCAAGAAAAGGAATACAAAGATGGAGATTTTTAACCATCTATACAATAGATTTGCCTTTGCTTAATCTAAATTCTAGCCATACTACTCCATTCATTACACCAGTCATAGCATCTGTTTACTTGGTTGTATATCTTTGGGCTTGTTCGTAAAACTTATATATTTTCATTGATTTACAATTGATTGTGGAGGGTGAATAACTAGAACAAAACAAAAACCTTACATCAATCTAATCCTAAAAATCAGGAGCCATAATCTGCTTGGAATTTTTATGTGCTAAAATAAGGAAAACAGTAATACAATTGATCTTGCAAATTAAAACAATTGAATAATAATTTTCCGTGAAATGCTCGAGTGAAAAAGCATTCAGCAGGACATATATTTATATCGATCCATCTTCAAGAGTTAAATACGTTTAAGTACGGTAAAGGGAACAAAATTATTTAATACAAAACTGATAAATCTGAATAATCATGTAACCTGTTAGACTTTAAATGCTATTAGACCCTTTTCCAACAAAAACAAATAATTAATGGATAGCAGTACACAAGAATCAAATGATCCTGATTGATTTCATTCCCAGCTTGATTTTAGAGAGGGAACGGGTCTTATTTTCCACCAATATTCCACCTTGGATATTATGCTTTCAACACATATGGTAATCTAACAACTAATAGAAAACTAGAGTTTTCACTTTTCATCCATCATTATTTGCATTTTTCAATAGCTAAATCACCCCATCTTATATCTAGAGTTTAAGTTATGCCATTAACAAAAGTTAGGAATCCAGAGACACACGACACTATGATCTTCTACTTGACTTTATATGCCCTTGTATTTTTATGATTAAAACTCCAATTTGGTCCCTTATAATATTTTAAAGTTTCAATTTAGTCCCACTTTAATTTTTAGGTTCAATTTAGTCCCACCTATTAAAAATGCTAGCAATGTTTGCCTTCTGTCTAAATTTCTCAAACGCTGTTTAGGAGTTTTCATGTGATTGAGAATCACGACGTGATTGAGAATCACAGGGGTGAGAATTCTCACGGCTCTTACTTAACAGTTTTTTTATGTGATTTACACCGTGGGAATCACAGACGTGATTGAGAATCACGGGCATGATTCTCATAGCTCTTAAACAGCGTTTGAGAAATTTAGACGGAAGAGAATAAATACAGTTGTAGGGACGCAGGGACACACTATAGATATTTATGTTACCATACAAAAATTCTGCATCTATATTACGAAGTAAATATTAAAGGAAAATGAATCATGATGATGTAGACTAGTAACCACAGTAAATTTATTGAAGATTAAGGATTTAAATAAATTATTAATATGTAAGGAAACTTCTATACTTACATTCCTTTTACAGCCAGTCTCACGAACTTCAAAAGAACAAGATATATTGTTAAGCTCTACTTTATATTGGTACTGACGAACCTGCTCCTCAGCAATAATGTAAGAGATAACTTTCCGGTTGACTTGAAAATCATGTACCAATTGACTAGCATTCACTACAGATGCTTCAACAAAACCACTTTGAGGATTACGACAAATCAAAAGAGGATTAGGTGTTACATCTTCCTTAAGCCAACGGTAGGTTCCTAGACCATGAGCTACAGTAGGTGCTACTGCTTCCGTACCATCTAACACTTTGAATGTACCTAAACTAAGTATTTCAAGATAACTAGAAAAGTGAGTATATGCAGACAGACTCAAACTGCTTTCAAATGCAGCACTTACAACAGCCAGCTTCCCCATCTGTTGAGCCCATTGCGCAATTAGAGCTGCATTCTCAAACCCACCAACAACACTTGGTTTAATAACCTGAAATATCATTATAAAATTCTAAATAAAACGAGTTATCATTTTATATGGACAAGGTGATTAACTCTATTTTTTGAATTCTAAATATATTGCAGTTTAGATAGGGAATTAGAAAATATGATTTTGTTTCGTCTAACCTAGACATTGATCCAATCCGAGTCATAATGGTTAAACATATAGACATAAAAAGAAAATTTCTTCACAGCTCAATCTCAATCAGCAATTGTATTATTAATAATTAAGCATTTCTTCAAGTATGTTCTAATCCTATAGCATGAATAAAAAGGTAAAGTATATGCATAGCAAAGCAGAATTATCTCATTAATTTATTCTACAACCCAAATCTGCAGTCATTCTCTTGAATAAGAAACCGTAGAAGTAGGCTAAAATCACCTCAATTCTACAATTAACAACATTGCAGTTTGGTAATATAATATATTTTGGATTTCATAAAGAAACGACACCATAAAGATACAATACCAGTACCTAAATGATGTAAATCTATTCTTCCCTTAATATCATACTGAAATTACTATTTACTTACAACAGCAGTTATTGCTGGATGAGTAAACTTCACAAGCTTTTCCAAGGGATTTTCTTGAATGTTATCTATGGTTTCATCTAAGGCAACAGGTAACCCGCTTTCATTGCAAAACTTGAGAATATCATCTTCATTCTGAACAGGCTCCTGCGAAGGGGATATCTTAATCAAGTTATAAGCAAAGATGCCCCCAACAAATAAAGTGGTGGAGACCATAAAGAAAAGCTGAAGAGTAAATCCATGAGCTACAAAAAATGTCTTATTTTCTTAGTCTACCTCAATATACTGTAGGTTACAATCCATAACCAAAGAGCTGAATTTCATAGCTTCTTCATAAGTCCAACCTCGATTAGCATCTGCACGGATGTTAATCTGGCAACCAACTTTCTTTCTCACTTCTTGTATGATTGCTGCATCATGCATTGGATCACCACCCCGTGCTACCTGCATATCAAGAGCATTCTAAACTATTGGAGTCCTCTAGATTCTCATCAGTTGGTCTATATAAAATACACCTGAGGGTGATAAGTGTATGCAGCACAAGCTAAACAATGAATACTAGATAACCTTCAGCTTAATTGCAGAAAATCCTTCCTCAATTAGTGTGGCAGCAACATTAGCAACTTCAGTTGGAGATCCATTTGAATCAATTAGCGCACAAATCTGAACATTTAATGACCTTTCACATTTATTGTTCTCATTTATTGGGGGATGAAGTATGTTGAGCATATTGGAGCCTTTTGCATCAGCAATGGCATTGAGGATAGCCATTTCCAAACCACATCTGACACTTGGAAAAATAGAAGATGGCTGCATCACAACAACAGCAATATCTTAAATCTGTTTGTGATAAATTGAATTCTTAATGTCAAATAATAAGTTCCCCAATCATTTAAGCTGAAAGGTTACAAGTGCACAATAAGGAAAGGTTATAAGCTGTAAGATTCTGTATATCTGAATTCTGTAATCGCACTACTCATACAAAATCCTTTTTTAGAGAAGAACTTGATGCCACATGAAGGAACTCATCACCTAAACATCTAAGCTTTTAGGTGTAGTGTAGGTCCAGCAGTGGTTTTTATTTATGTAATATCTCCAGCCATGGTCTAAAAAACGTAGATTAGATAGCTTACCAAGATGCCTAAATCATGCCATATCCAATATGAAAATGAACCCTTCAATAGAGAGAGGAAGCAACTAATATCAACCTGCTCCATAGCATGAATAAGAAACCTGAGTTGATATTCTGCATCTACCAGATCTTCTGTGTGGATGTCAATAGGTGCAACCTGTTTGATGCCAATAACATATGAACATATAGTTTTAGAAAGTTTAAAAGAAATTAAGAAAATTGAAAAAGGAATTAGATAAATATAAATAACAAAAAATGGAAACTTAATGCAAAAGACAAGGGATAACAATTAAAAATTAAAGACCCATAAACCACTCATTTGGTTAATGTTGAACAAGAGAGCATGGGATGAATTCTGTGTGTTTAGAGCACAGCGGAGCTATTGAATTTATAATAAAGAGTACATAATTACAGAATGTTCAGTTACCTATTTTTGGTTAATTACATAAATATAGAATCAATCTAATTAATCTTATATACACAGTAGTTATATCTACATGATTCTAACACTCCCCTCAAGCTAAAGCATATAGGTCATATGCACCAAGCTTGTTACATATGTATTTAATTTGAGGACCCCTTAGTGCCTTAGTGAATATGTCTACTAGTTGATCATTAGAACTGACAAGAATAGTAGATATTTCGCCTGCCATGACTTTCTCTCTAACAAAGTTACAATCAAATTCAATATGCTTTGTCCTCTCATGAAATATTGGATTTGAGGCAATATGAATGGCGGTCTGGTTATCACAAATAAGTGACATTTGTGTGACGTCTCCAAACTTTAGATCCTGAAGCAATTTTTTGAGCTATATAAGCTCCTGACTAGCTATAGCCATAGCTCGATATTCTACCTCTGCACTAGATCTGGCAACATTTTTCTTCTTGCTTTTTCAAGCGACAAGGTTACCTACTGTTGAGAGTAATGGTGAATGGAGAGAACATATTCCTAATGGCACATGGGAGCTTGTCCCTCTACCTCTTGGAAAGAAGACTGTCGATTATAGATGGGTCTATGCTGTTAAAGTTGGCCCTAATGGTGAAGTTGATCGCCTTAAAGCTCGATTGGTAGCCAAGGGATACACTCAAATTTATGGTCTTGATTATTGTGATACCTTCTCTCCTGTGGCTAAGATCACCATGGTTAGACTCTTCCTTGCTATGGCGGCTATTCGTCATTGGCCACTCCACCAACTTGACATTAAAAATGCCTTCCTCCATGGTGATCTTGAGGAGGAGATTTATATGGAGCAACCTCCTGGGTTTGTTGCTCAGGAGGAGTGTGATTTAGTTTGTAAATTGCATCGGTCTTTGTATGGACTAAAATAATCACTCCAAGCTTGGTTTGGTAAATTTAGCCACATTGTGCAGATTTTTGGATTGGAACAAAGTGAGGCAATCATTCAGTGTTTTATTGTCATTCTGCTAGGAAGTGTGTTTATTTAATGGTCTATGTTGATGATATAGTTATTACAGGAAATGATGCTACTAGAATTTCTCAACTAAAAGAGTACTTATTTGGCCATTTTTAGACTAAAGACCTTAGTAGTCTGAAATACTTTCTTGGTATTGAAGTGCCTCAATCAAAGGAAGGTGTTGTAATTTCACAAAGGAAATATGCTCTTGATATTTTGAAGGAAACAAGTTTGGAAAATTGCAGGCCAATTGATAGTCCTATGGATCCAAACCAAAAGCTAATGATGGACCAAGGTGGAATTTTTCCAAATCTAGATAGATACAAGAGGCTGGTGGGAAAACTCATTTATTTCATTATTACAAGCCTTGATATTTCATTTGCAGTTAGAGTTGTTAGTCAATTCATGCAAAATCCTTACATTGACCATTGGAATGCTATGATTCGCATTCTTAAATATATTAAAAGAAGGGCTCCAGGACAAGGATTGTTGTATGAGGAAAAGGGAAATACTTAGGTCTTGGGGTATTGTGATGCAGATTGGGTTGGGTGTCCCATAGACAGGAGATCCACCACAAAATATTGTGTGTTTATTGGGGGGAATATTATTTCTTGGAAGAGCTAGAAACAAAGTGTTGTTGTCTGGTCTAGTGCGGAGACTGAATATAGATCTATGGCTTTGGCTACTTGTGAACTTGTGTGGATTAAACTACTCCTTCAAGAGTTAAAATTTTGTGATAATCAAGCAATCATTCATATTGCTTCCAATCCGGTGTTTCAAGATAGAACCAAACACATAGAGATTGATTGTCATTTCATTCAGGAGAAACTGTTGTCCAAGGAACTTATCACCGAGTTTATCAGCTCTAATGACCAGCTTGCAGACATTCTAACTAAGTCTTTAAGAGGACCTAGGATTCAGTATATATGTTCCAAGCTTGGTGCATATAATTTATATGCTCCAGCTTTAGGGGAGTGTTAAAACAATTGTTTATTATATGTTGTACAGCTTTATAAAAGTTGTTTTTTGGCCCTATCTATCTAAAGGGGTTTAGGTCCATAGGCTAGAACTACTTTCTGTTTAGTGTACCTATTTTGTTCATATATATATATATATCACTTGATCATCTAGGATGGCAACAAGCCATGATTGATGAAATGCAGGCTCTTACACACAATGGCACATGGGAGCTTGTCCCTCTACCTCTTGGAAAGAAGACTGTCGATTATAGATGGGTCTATGCTGTTAAAGTTGGCCCTAATGGTGAAGTTGATCGCCTTAAAGCTCGATTGGTAGCCAAGGGATACACTCAAATTTATGGTCTTGATTATTGTGATACCTTCTCTCCTGTGGCTAAGATCACCATGGTTAGACTCTTCCTCACTATCAAGTAGATGCACCCAGCAGTGGAATGTCGATAAAAGACCAAATGATCAACTTCACTTCGAGTCATACCAAACTGTTGGACTACAGTACTAAATCTACCAAACCATGCCCTTGGAGACTGCTTAAGACCATAAAGTGATTTGCGAAGACGACATACCAAACCGGAAGACTCCCCCTGAGCAACAAACCCAGGAGGTTGCTCCATATAAATTTCCTCAAGCAAATCCCCATGAAGAAAGGCATTTTTAACATCCAGTTGATAGAGAGGCCAACGGCGAAGAGCAGCCATGGCTAAGAATAATCTTATATTTTAGGAAGTTTTAGATATTATTCCTACTATATTTTAATTCTATATATCTGTTGTATCTTGCTATTATTACTACAATAACAATCCCACAATTACAGGGATTTGTTCCCTAGAATAGGCTGTCCTTATTTCCTAAAATAAGCAACAGAATCATGTGTATATATATCTGATGTATCTCATGATGAATAAGATAAGATATTATTCCTTCTAAATTTGAGATGGAATCAGAGCTACTGATCCTTGGGAGCCTCTGACTGTGATCTGATTGCAGCCTTCATTGCTGCACAACCCTAGAATTCCATTGCAGCCGTCATTGTTGCGCAACCCTAGAATTCCATTGCAGCCTTCATTGCTGCACAACCCTAAAATTCCATCGCAGCCTTCATTGCTGTGTGATCCCAAACACTCATCACAACCTTCATTGCTGTATCAATCTGTTTTTCTGTGCCTTAATTGCACATATTTGTAATGGCTGAAAAGGAAAATGGAGACAAGTTCCAAAATACGGGTGAGCTGCAGAATGTCCAAGCTCATGTTGTTGCTGGTCTTGAAAGTCAAGGAGGATCCGTCCAACTCAACCATGAGGAGATAGAGAGAGTAAGATCCTTTCTTAGTAAATTGGAGAAACCCACAGTTACGTGTTCATTGACATACTCTGGTAAGTTCCCATTTTCTTGTGGACTTAATGTCTCAAATACACCCTTTACCCATTATTGGATTCTAGACTCTGGAGCCACCGACCATATGACACCACTCCCTAAACACTTCTCCACATATTCCCCATGTCCCAGTAACAAGAAAATTTCCACAGCTGATGGAACCCTTATAACTGTAGCTGGACAAGGAGATGTCCAAATAACCCCAACCATAATACTAAAAAATGTTCTTCATGTCCCTAAATTGTCCACAAATCTGATATCTATCCAAAAACTTACAAAAGACCTCTTATGTAATGTGATATTTCATAGCAACTCTTGTATATTGCAGGACAAGAAATCGGGGAGGACGATTGGACATGCTAGAGAATGGAATGGCCTTTACTACATGGAAAATCTGAATCTGCCCATTGAGAGTCACTCTCTGATATCCGAGTCTACCATAACCAGCAAAGAAAAAGTTCAGTTGATTCATTGTCGCTTGGGACATCCTTCATTTCGGGTTATAAAGTTACTGTTCCCTTCCTTGTTTAAAAATTTAAATCTGGAGAGTTTTCATTGTGAGGCGTGTGAGCTTGCCAAACATAAGCGGGTACCTTTTCCTATTAGCAATAAACTAAGCACTTCTCCATTTTATCTTGTTCATACGGATGTGTGGGGCCCCTCTAATATCCCTAATATCTCAGGGGCTAAATGGTTTATAACCTTTATAGATGATTGTACAAGGGTAATGTGGCTTTTCCTTCTTAAACACAAATCTGAGGTTAGCTCTGTTTTCCTACGGTTTGTCTCAATGATTAAAAATCAATTTGGGGTTAATATCAAGAAACTTAGGTCTAATAATGCCAAAGATTACTTCAATCATACCCTAAATTTTTTTTGCCAAAAGGAAGGGATAATTCATGAATCCTCATGTGTACACACACCCCAACAAAATGGGATTGCGGAAAGGAAAAATGGGCACTTGCTAGACCAAACTAGAGCACTCATATTTCAAAATAATGTTCCAAAAATTTTTTGGGGGGAAGCCGTACTTACTGCCACTTACTTAATTAATAGATTACCCTCTACAATTTTATCCTCAAAAAGCCCCATGGAAGTCCTAAAATCATTCTACCCACATATAACCCATACAAATAACCATCAACCTAGAATATTTGGGTGTGTCTCCTTTGTGCATGTTCACAGTAGTGGAAGGGGAAAACTTGACCCAAGAGCAATAAAATGTGTTTTCTTGGGGTACTCAGCCACACAAAAAGGATATAAGTGTTTTCATCCTCCATCCCAAAAATTCTTTGTGTCAAGGGATGTTACTTTCCATGAGCAAATAAGCTACTTTAGCCAGCCTCATCTGCAGGGGGAGAATTTAAGAGAGGAAGATGAGCCTCTCATA